AATAGGGGATCATGGGGCCCCTGTGTCCTTGCCCACACTCAAAAAAGCCTACGAAAAAGGTACCAGGGGCATCTCATGAGGCCCCCTACTGACCCCGGGCCCTCGGGCAGTGCTCGAGTTTCCAAATGGTCAGTCCGCCCCTGGTCTATAGTAGCTCATTGATGACATTTCCATATTGGTTACAATAGCATATATGCAGTATGTGGTCCATTCCAATAGAAAGATTAATAGAAGAACTGCAAAACACTTTTAAAAGTGGTGGTTATTGGTTAACCCTTTGAGGACTGTAAGATTTTGGAATGCCAATTGTTTTGTTTTTAAAGTTCGTACACTTCAGTTGCTGTAACTAAGCCATTTCATGAAATAATTGGCAAAAAGCTAGATCCATTTGTTGTTTGTTGATAAGAACTAATATTTTGACTCAAACCAAAAAAAAAAAGAGTTTTAAGTTCTTAATCAGATGATACACGTAATTAAAAACATGGGAAAAATACGTCCCTTGGTCCTCAAAGGGTTAAAAACATACTCTATCCAAACATTATACATTAAGGCATAATATGTATGATATACACATAGTGGCTAAATATGAAGGTGAGCAATTACTTCATAGAAATATGCAACAGAAGTGGATTTATATGTAGCCCTAGTCTGCAGTGCTGGCAGAGAAAAGCAGGTGCATGGATTTGGTTGTCAGTTTCAGCGTTTCTGCTGCTGTCCCTGCTAGTATGTACAGAGGGACAGGCACAGCTGTCATTGGAGCATGGCATTGCAAAGCTTTGTGTAACTTGTCAAAGTAGTATTAAAGTGTTTGTAAACCTTAAAATAATGGTACCACTCTCTCTGTAAGGCAAGATAATATTATATGTAATAATGTTATGTACTCCTTCCCTTGTTGTATAATACTTGGAAGATCCTACGTGTGCCCCTCTTCCCAAACGTAAACTGACCACTCCACTATGCAAGACCAGAGCATGTCTGTAAGTTCTGTAGTTTGTAGAAAGCTGTGCCCCCTTGCCCCACTCCTCCTGTCTTGATTCCTCTGTAGCCACTTCTCCCCTCTTCTCCCTCTGCTGATGTAAATTATATACACTGAGGACTAGTAGACCCTTTCTAGATGAGTCCCTGTGCTCTTGAAAGAGAACATAAAAAATCATATGACCGTATAATAGCACTGCATTAGGTATTTAGAGATTTTATTAAAAGAAAAAAACACTCTGCCATTCTAAGAACCCTATTGTAGAAAGAATAATGCAACTTTGGAGTTCTGAATTTCAACTACTTTAAACCTAAAAGCAAACATTTATTATATTGAAGCTTACCAATTATTATGCCTGGTACACATGGTAAGTTTTTTCATCTGTAAAAGGAATCAGCGAGCACTTATAGAGCAGAAAAATGCACCTAAAGGAAACCTGAAACCTTCAATAGCATATGTAATCAAAAAAAGTACAGCTCTAAAAGAACATCCAATAATATTATTACTAAAATAGTGCAAATGATTCAAATAATTAATAAAGTGCAAAGTTCGTATATATTGTGTGATTATTTGATATGACCATATACGATAAATAAAAGTCTGGAATAATTATCTGAGCCATGTTTCTTGACAATTTCCAGGCCTCTTCTTTATCAATCCGCTTGGACAAGTTGATCACTCTGCTCTCTCTTTTTTTCATTACATTGGTTGTTAGCACATGAACACAACACCACAACTGACTGGCTCTTTGTGCTGCTTCTCTTTCTCCTAGTCTGGGCTCTGCTGTACAGTGGATTGCTGGAGGCTGATAACGAGCCAAATTCAGGTATAACAGCTTCCTACTGTTAATGGTTCTTAAGGAAGCAATCCAGCTTGTCCCAGCGAATTTATAAAGAAGAGGCCTGGAAATTGTCAGGAGCCATGGCTCAGAGAATTTTTCTGCCTGCTTCAAAAAATCCCATGTGACACGAAGCTGCAGGGAAGTTCCAGGATCCAGAGGAGGGAGATCCTTTCCAGGCTGTACACCCATTCCACCTTAAAGGGGACCTCTGGCTGATTACATATTATATATTGTACTGCATATTTAAAATGCGCATCTGGTGAGTTTGCATTTTTACCATATTCCCTGCACTTCACCGAAATGAAATAATTGTCATATGGAATGTATCTTCGCGCCAGAAAATACCAGTCAGCGCTTGCAGACATTGGCTGAGAACGCTGATTCGATGCCAATCAGCTGCTGGTTTCCCAGAATGCTCATTCAACAGAAGAATCTTTACTTTCTATCGTTTTAGATAGCCTTAGCAGCAATACAACACTTACAGTATTTATTAAAGGGTAATGCAATGGCAGATAAAAATTGGCCAGTAGTATGCTATAGCTCGTTCTTTTCTTTCAATAAGTTTTTATTGTTTTTTTTGGTATTTTTAAGTACAAAGTACAAGCTTTCTAGTATGTACAAGCTCACCACTTGCCTCCTTGACCCTGTCCCCACACAACTCCTCCGGTCACCCTCCTCCTCCATCCTACGTTCCCTCACACACATCTTCAATCTCTCCCTCTCTACTGGCACATTCCCCTCCCCCTAAAGCATGCGCACATCACCCCCATACTCAAAAAACCCTCCCTGGACCCCACCGACCTGAGCAACCTTAGACCCATCTCCCTGCTGCTATTTACTTCCAAGCTCCTTGAGCACTTAGTCTACAATCGCCTAAGCGCCCACCTCACTGACAACAACCTCCTTGATCCACTACAGTCTGGCTTCCGTCCCCTACTCTCCACCGAAACTGCCCTACTCAAAATCACTAATGACCTGCTAAAGGCCAAAGCTAATGGCCACTACTCAGTCCTCTTATTCCTCGACCTTTCCGCGGCCTTCGACACAGTTGACCACCCCCTCCTCCTTAATAAACTACACTCCTTTGGCATCAGAGACTCCGCTCTCTCCTGGCTCTCCTCCTATCTATCCCAACGCTCCTTCAGCGTTACCTATAACACTGCCACCTCCCCCTCTCTCTCCCCTCTCTGTTGGGGTCCCCCAAGGCTCTGTCCTTGGGCCCCTTCTCTTCTCCATCTACACCTCCTCCCTCGGCAAACTGATACACTCCCACGGCTTTAACTATCACCTCTATGCCAATGACATGCAAATTTACCTCTTTGCCCCTCGCCTCACCCCTTCAGTGTCCACCCGTATCGCTCACCTACTGAATGACATATCAGACTGGATGTCGCTTCATTTCCTCGAATTGAACCTTTCCAAAACTGAGCTCCTGATTTTCCCCCCAGCCCGCGCCCCCCCCCCACCCTCTCCATCACGACCAACAATGCCACCATCAGTCCCACCCTGCAAGCCTCGGTGTCACTCTAGACTCAAACCTGTCCTTCCAACCCCATGTCCAATCGTTGGCAAACTCATGCAGGTTCCACCTCTGCAACATCTCCAAAATACATACGTTCCTAACCCCAGACACTACTAAACAACTCGTTCACTCCCTTATTATCTCACGTCTGGACTGCTGCAACTCCCTTCTCACCGGCCTACTGCAGACTATCCCCGCTTCAGTCTATCCTGAACTCAGTGGCCAGACTCATCCACTTTACCAACTGCTCCGCTTCTGCCACCCCCCTCTGTCATTCCCTCCACTGGCTCCCAATTGCCCAACGCATTAAATTAAACTAACACAGACATACAAAGCCATTCATAACGTTGCCCCAAACTACCTCACCGACCTGATACCCAAATACCACCCAACCCGTACTCTTCGCTCCTCACAACACCTCCTACTTTCTAGCTCCCTGGTCTCCACCTCCCACGCCCGACTGCAGGACTTCTCCAGGACTTCCCCCATCCTCTGGAACTCACTACCCCAATCCATCAGACTGTCACCTACTCTCCTCACCTTTAGGCGCACCCTGAAAACCCATCTCTTCAGGGAACCCTACCCCGCCCTCACCTAACAGTCGATCTCCTCCACTCCTCACTCCACTCCATCCCCCACTATCCCCTCCCTCCTAGATTGTAAGCTTGAAAGAGCAGGGCCCTTGACCCTCTCGTGTTTTGTTTTGTTACTCTATTGTCTCATGTTCTGTCCCCCACCATAATGTACAGCACTGAGCAAACCTTTTAGCGCTATATAAATACTGTATAATAATAATAATAATATTAAAAAGAAGTTACAATAATGAACAGCAGTCAATAGCAATCGTATACAAGTGGAATATAACTACAATAATTAATATTATAGATAACTTGTCAAGAGAACAAAAATAAGACATACATTTTGTGTCAGTTGATTGGTTAGTAAACAGAAAAGGCTACCTATCCGTAGCTCATAGTCCAACATTGGTAAAAGGATTATATCATTAAGGATATGCTAATATGCTATTGAGACGGGAGATGTATAGAACACTTTGTGGTTCATGAGGCATCCCTGTGGAAGAGCTGGAGAGTGAAAATCCAGAAAGAGAAAGAGAAAGGGGAGAAAGTGGAGACAGATTGGGGGTGGACATCTATAGCACTTGAGTTTGGTTTATAAAGTTTAATAAGGCTATAGTGAGGTGAAGCTATCCACTGAGACCTTGCGGTGGGCGTGTTTGGATCCATGGAGTCCAAGTTTTAAGGAATCTCTCTTGGGTGTCTGAGAGAATGCTAGAAAGTATTTCATTTATTGGAAGAAATCAAGGCAGCGGTGGATTTCTGTGAAGGATATGAACTTCTGTTTCCAGGCTTTCACTATGGTTTGTTTGACCACCAACAGTACATGGGTGGCTAGTTTAACCAGTTGCTGACCGCAGATAGCCGAATGATGGCTACACTATGGCCGGCCAGTTCTGGGAGGGTGTCATATGACGTCCTCCCAGAATGCACTCTCCTGCATGCTCCCTGTGGTGCGCACCCGGTGATCTCCGTGGTCACTGTGTCCTATGGACACAGCTGATCACGTGATGTGGTAAAATGCCAATCACAGCGGCTTTTTACCATGTGATCAGCCTTGTCCATTGACAGGCTGATCACAGGGAAATGCAATTGCCGGTTCTCGGCTGCACTTTCCTCACGCTGTCAGAACGTGGGGAAAGTACTGCAGAGAACCGGCAGTTGTCAGAGCAGGGATCGGCACCCATCATCAGGGCACTGAGGATCAGTGCCCTGATGATCGGTCTCCAGCAGTGCCACCCACCTGTGCCCAGCAGTGCCGTCCACCAGTGCCCAGCAGTGCCGTCCATCAGTGCCCAGTGGTGCCACCCACCAGTGCCCAGCAGTGCCACTACCTGTGCCCATCAGTGCCACCCCACCTGTGTCACCCAACTCTGCCCATCAGTGCTACCCACCTGTGCCCATCAGTGCCACCCACCTCTGCCCATCAGTGCCATCCACCTGTGCCCATCAGTGCCAACCATCAGTGCAGCCCAGAAGTGCTGCCAGTCAGTGCCCAGCAGTTGTTCCAGTCAGTGCCCAGAAGTTGCACCAGTCAGTTCCCAGAAGCGCCGCCAGTCAGTGCCCAGTAGTGCTGCCAGTCAGTGCCCAGCAGTGCCGCCAGTCAGTGCCGCCTATCAGTGCCCATCATCAGTGCCGCCTATCAATTCCACCTATCAGTGCCGCCCATCCATGCCACCTCATTAGTGCTGCCTATCAGTGCCCATCAGTGCTGCCTATCAGTGCAGCTTCATCAACGCACATCAGTAAAGGAGAAAACTTACCTGTTTGCAAAATTTTATAATAGAAACAAAGAAACTTTTTTTTTCAACTTTTTTGCTCTTTTTTTGTTTATAGCGCAAAAAGTAAAATGCACAGCGGCAAGTAAATACCACCAAAAGAAAGCTCTATTTGTGAGAAAAAAATGCAAAACATTTCATATGGGTACAATGTTGCATGACCACACAATTGCCATTCAAATGTAACCGTGCTGAAAGCTGAAAATTGGCCTGGTAAGGAAGGGGGTATAAGTGCCCGGTAGGCAAGTGGTTAAATTGGTGTTTGGACAAGCCCAGGGGTTTTAAATGTAAGAGAGTATAGCAAGGGTCTCTCGGGAAGGGACAAGTAAGTAATGATTGGAGTAGTTTGAGAACCTTTAACCAAAATCAGGAAAGCATAGGGTATGTCCACCATAAGTGCAGAATCTCTCCCGGAGCTTTACAGTCTCTGAAGCAAATATTGGGGGCTGATGGATTAAGAAATGCTAAACAGGATGGTACAAGGTACCACCTTGTTACCTTTTTGAAAGCTGATTCCATAATGAGGACATTGATGGAGCATGAGGTCAGAATTAGATATATCTGTGACCAGCATGCACAAACTTTAGTGCTTTTGAGGTCTCTTTCCCATCTGGAAACATAATTGTTATTGTTGTGGTTCTGTAGATTAGTCAATTGTGAATAACGGTTAGAGATAAGTTTAGGAGAGAGAGGCGTCTGCTGGCAAATGTGTTCAAACAAGGATTGTGGTAGGGTCTTTATTGGTGAGGACCTAATTTACCCAATGTTTAATCTGTAGGGGGCTTGATATTTGTCCCTTATTTCTGCCAGGTGTAAACTGAAAGGCCCATGAGAAATGAATGGATACATTGGAGGTTGTGGGAAGTTCACCAATGGAATTTGTTATGGGACTCAAGGCCAGGTGGAAACAGAGGATTGTCCACACGTAAGAGTGGTAGATGAGGGGAGATTATGCCGCTGTTGTATTTTGTGGAATTCCATATATGTAGTGAGTGGGGCCATTAGAGGACTGATAAATGTGGGTCTGGATTTCAGGGGGAGCCATAAGAGAGAGAGATCAGGTGGCAAGAGAGCGCTTATAAAGTTACCCATATGGGGGCTTGTTGTGCTGCATATAATGAGGTTAGAGGTGTGATTTGAGCCACCACATAGTACTTGGAGACATTAGGAACCCCCATGCTGGTGTGGGAGCATAATATATTTAGTGACCCGACATCTTTTTATTGGCCCAAATAAAGCGTAAAATGTGATTTTGAGAATATTTCAGGGCAAAAGAAGGGATTGGGACAGGGATGGTGCAGAATAGGTATAGAAGTTTGGGGAGGATAGTCATTTTTACTGTGTTTATTCTACCCATCTACTAGAGATGTTGGTGTGATCAGGTTGTAAATAGAGTTCTGAGAGAATGGAATATTGAGGTATAGTTGGCCTCATACAGAGTGTAGTAGGAATTTGTAAGGTTGATCCCTAGGTATCCTAGGTGCGCGGTGGGGCAAGTAAAGTTATAGATTTGATTTAGCAAATGTATGTCCTCTACGGGGAGGGAAACATTGAGGGCTGATGATTGTCTTCGTTTGCTATTAAACCAGGAGAGCCAATGTTGGAAAATCTGGTTAGAATGGAGAAGAGGGTAGGTAATGTGGTGTCTGGTTGGGTCAGAGTTAGAGATGAGCGAAGTATTCAAAAATTCGATTCGGCTGATTCGGCGAATTCGAGGAATAAATTCGATTCGATGCGAATATATTCGCTACGAATTTAACTTATAAAAGGGTGTTTCTAGGCTTCAGAGAGCCTTTATATTAGTGCAGAACACTGTACCTTTAATTTAAATGCCCTTGGAGTCTGCTGGGGAAGAGAAATAATACTGTCAGTCAGTATGACATGCAGATGAGTGCCGTCGATCTTAGAATCACCGCACACTTCACTCATTTGGGCAGTCACGGGGCCAAAACCAGAGTGTGGAGCCACAGTGTGGCGGTGGAGGCAGCAGCAATGGGAGGCCATACAGCACCCTATGACAAAAATGGAACCCACCAGCAGTGTGAGGAGACCTGAAAGTGGCACATGGCAGAGGGTGTGGCGATGGAGACAGCAGCAATGGGAGGCCGTACAGGGACCCATGACACACTCTGGACCTGGCAGCAGCATTAGGAGGCGGTACAGGGGCCCATGGCAGATTACGGGCCTGGCAGCAGCAATGGGAGGCCCGTAATCTGCCAGCACCCTATGACAAAATGGAACCCACCAGCAGAGGAGACCTGAAAGTGGCACATGGCAGAGTGTGGCGATGGAGACCACAGCAGCAATTGGAGGACGGCCGTACAGGGACCCATGAGAGACTCTGGACCTGGCAGCAGGACATGAGGAGGGGGGTACAGGGGCCCATGGCAGATTTACGGGCCTGGCAGCAGCAATGGGAGGCCCGTAATCTGCCAGCACCCTATGACAAAATGGAACCCACCAGCAGTGTGAGGAGACCTGAAAGTGGCACATGTTTGGGGCATGATTCATGGCGGATTTAGTCAATTGTGTCAGGAACTGGTGGTCTTTTGAAAAATCCAGACTAATCCACGCCTGATTCATTTTCACAAAACGTGAGTCTCTCAACACTTTGGGTGGACAGTCGTTGTCCTCCGCGGAGTTACAATACCTCACTGCCGCACACTAAACACGCGCTCCCCGATGAAACGCTAGTCATTGGCCGGGCATCAGACAGCCTTTCAAGGGCAAATTCAGCTAGTTGGGGCCAAAGGTCAAGTTTTCGTTGCCCGTAGTCAGGGGATTGTCTACCTCGGTTTGCAGGGTGCTGTCCAAGTAGGCCAAGCCTGTTGTTTGAGCGGTCCTGCTCCAGATACCACCTGATGCTGATGCTGCTGCATGCGGCTGGTTAGCAGTTTCCTCACTGCGCTGGTGATCGAAAAGCTACTCATCATCGACTGCAGACTGAGGCAGCCGCTGCTGGTGGAGCTGCCACTGACTCTACCACCCCACCCCTCCCTGCTGCCATGGCAGCGGAACGCACTCTGAGCGACAGGGCCCACAGTGTCTGAGGATGGACGTTTGGCGCAGAGAGGCAGAGACCAAACTGACTACATAGTGGTTTTTATAGTACGTTATTTGGCTTCCCTCTCTGCAGCATGGTGTGAAAAAGGCCACCATTTTGAACTGCACGGTAGCGAGGGTCCAACAAGGTGGACAGCCAAAATGTCATCCCTCTGTCTGATGGTTATTATTCGGCTGTCGCTACGCAAGCAACCGAGCATGCTATGGGCCATTTGTGCCAAGGAATGCGAGGGACTCCCTGCCTCCATCTCCACAGCATACTGCCACGGTGCGTCTGGGTCCTCTGTCTCTCTTCCTCCTCTTACCAGATGCTCCTGCTCCTCCACTCCTGTCCGCTGAGTGGAAAAACCACCCATTTCACTCAATAATTCCTGAGCACCAATGTCCTCCTCTACCTCTCTCTTCTTTCCTGTCCTGCCCCCCACTAGGGGTTCATGTGGTGTTGAGATCTGTGCGCCACGTCGTACCAAGCACCCTGACCAGCCATTGTTAAACAGCATTTGTTCCAGGACGTGCAACAGAGGAATGACGTCGTTCATCCCATAGACCCTGCCGACTCACGAATAGCGTGGGCCTCCTCAAAGGGCCTCAGCAAGCGGCAGGTGTCACGACCATGAGCGCTGCCCAATGGCTTGACATACTATGTTACTACCAGGGGGAGTAACCTTAATCCGCTTTGTATACTATCAAAGAAAATCTGTGATGGGCCTTTCGCTGTTCGTAATGGCCCGGGGGTACTAAACATATGTAGGGTTGGAGTACCACATTGTTGCACACGTTGCAACGTCCACAGCTTGAGGGAGTCTGTACGGGGGATCCATGGCAGATTACGGGCCTGGCAGCAGCAATGGGAAGGCCCTCGTAATTATGCCAGCACCCCTATGACAAGTAGATGGAACACACCAGCAGTGTGAGGAGACCTGAAGAGTGGCCACATGCAGAGTGTGGCGATGGAGACAGTCAGCCAAATGGGAAGGCAGTACAGGAACCCATGAGGAGACTCAGGACCTGGCAGCAAAGCATGAGGATGCGAGGTACTGGGGCCCATAGGCAGATTACGGGCCTGGCAGCAGCAAATGGAGGCCCGTAATCTGCCAGCACCCTATGACAAACTGTAACTACTACAGCAGTGTGAGGAGACCTGAAAGTGGCACATGCCAGAGTTGTGGCGATGGAGGCCGAGGCAGCAATTGGGAGGCCAGTACAGGGCCCCGATGAGAGACTCTGGACCCAGCAGCAGCCTGACGGAGGCGGCGGGCGGGTACTTCAACTTTATCTTGGGTACTGGTGGCCCATGGCAGAGTTAACGCGGCCTGGTCAGCTAGCAACTGGAGGCCTCGTAGATCTTGACAGACACCCTATGACAAAATGGAACACTACCAGCAGTGTGAGAGGAGACCTGAAAAGTTGGCACACTGGCAGGAGTGTGGCAGAAGGAGACAGCAGCACAAGGGATGCGTTACAGGGACCCCATAGAAGAGATCTCAGGAGCTGGCAAGCAGCATGAGGAAGGCTAGAAACAGGGGTGCCCATGGCAGATTACAGGCCTGGCCGAGCAGCAATGGGTGGCCCGTAAATCTGCAGCACCCTATGACGCAAAATGGAAACACACCTAGCAGTGTGGAGGTGACCACTGAAAGTGGCCCCATGGACAGAGCGTGTGGCGATGGTGACAGCAGCAATGGGAGGCCCCGTACAGGGACCCATGAGAGACTCATTCGGACCAGGGCAGCAGCATGAGGAGTCGTGTACGGGGGCCATGGGCAGATTACCGGGCCTGGCTCAGCAGCAATTGGGAAGGCCAGTAATCTCAGCCAGCCACCCTATGAGTCAAAATGGAAACACACCCAAACCAGCCGTGTGAGGAGGACCTGAAAGTGGCTGACTTGGCAGATGTGTAGCGATGGAGACAGCAGCAATGGGAGGCCGTACAGGACCCAAGAAGTCTCTGGTCCTGGCAGCGAGCATGAGGACGGCGTACAGGGACCCATGGCAGATTACGCAACGGGCCTGGCAGCAGCTTTGGGAGTCCCGTAAACTGCCAGCACCCTATGACAAAATGGAACACACCAGCAGTGTGAGGAGACCTGAAAGTGGCCACAATCCATGTCAGAATACGGCGACTCGAAGACAGCAGCAATGGGAGGCCGTACAGGACCCATTAACACTCTCGACCTGGCAGCAGCCTGATGAGGCGGTACAAGTGGCCCATGCAGATACAGGCCTGGCAGCACAATGGGGAGGCACGTAAACGGTCATCTCATTAGTGACAAAAATGGAGCAACACACAGCAAGTGTGAGGAGACTTGAAAGTGGCACATGGCAGAGTGTTGCGAAGGAGACAGCAGCAAAGGGAGCCGTACTCAGGGACCCCTGAGAGACTCTGGACCTGGGCAGCAGCATGAGGAGGGGGGGGGGGAGGCAGGGGGCCCCCCGGGAATTACGGGCCTGGGGGGCACAATGGGAAAGGGCCCCTTTAATTTTGCCAGCACCCCATGAAAAAATGGAACCCACCACAGTGTTAGGGGACCTTAAAAATGGCACATGTTTTGGGGGAAGATTCATGGGGATTTTGTCAATTGTGTCAGGAAAAATGGTTTGGGTTTTAAAAACCAGACTAATCCCGCCTGAAATTTTATTTTCCCCAACGTGAGTTTTCTCAACTTTTGGGTGGACATTTGGGGCCTCCCGCGGATTACAAATTTCCCCCCGGCCCCACTAAAAACCAAAGCGCTCCATGAAACGCTACTGGCCGGGCATGACAGGGCCCTTTCAAGGGGAAATTCACTAGTTTGGGGGGCCAAAAAGGGCAAGGGTTTTGTTGCCCCTAGCAAAGGGGGTTGTCTTTCCTCGGTTTGCAGGGTGCTTTTCCCAAATAGGGGCCCCAAACCTGTTTTTTGAGGGGCCTGCTCCAGATCCACCCGATCT